TAATTGCTGACACAGGCAACGCTAAGGAGGAAAGATTTATTTAGCTCAGTCTGTAGAGGTTTCAGTCCATAGTCAGCCGGCTCCCAGGCAGGGCAGCACGGGGGAGGAGAAGGAGCTCGTGGCAGGGTGGCAGGAAGCAAGGCGAGATCAAGGAGGAGAAGGATGGATAAAACCCTTCCGGGCATGGCCAGTGACCCAGCTCTTCCCACCAGGCCTCGCCTCCCAGAGCACGGCCAGCTGGAGCCCATCAGTGGACTGACCCGTGTCACACACCCGCGATCCAGCCACGTGCAAAAGTCCCGCCTGCCAGCATGTGAGGCCTCGAGGGGACATCTGGACCTCTGTTCTTCCCGCCCTCTCTCGTTCCTCCTTCCCTCGCTTCCTCCTCTTCTCCCTCCTCCTCCCCTTGTCTTTTTGTCTCCAGTTCTGAGGATGAACTCCAGGGCCTCATGCGTGCTGGCCACGTACCGCAGAGACTCCACTCCGGACACCTCAGAGTCTAGACCTCGCTTTTCACAGACCACGTCAGCTCTACTTCTGTCCCGAGGATGTTAGCAAGAGACGGTCTTACCCGCTTGTCCCATCTCATGCTCTTACTCGTTTCAGATCAGCGCGGCCTTCTCTGACCTCCCAGTAGGACCCTGGCTCCCACCCAGCACTTTCCACCATACCTGACCCGCTTTATTTCCTCCACCGGACATAGCAGCAGCTGATGTTCTGGGCATTTGCTTACTTGTTCGTTCTAGAAGGTAAGCTCTGTGCGGACAGACTTTAGTCTGTTGGGCTCACAGAGGCATTCCCAGGACCTGGTTCATGAAGTGCTCAATAAAGATTTGTGTGAAGGGATGGACGCTGCAGAGCTCCAGGCATCAACAAGGCCCCCAGGCCAGAGGTGATGCGCGGCCAGCTTCCCACCAACTGTCCCCTCTCCAGCTCTTTCCCAGGTGGCCACAGCCCTGCCCTCCCCACTTGGGGCATCCTGTCACGTGTCACAGGCATGAGCACACTCCTGCGTTCGCTCCTACAAGGTGTCCCTTCCAGACAGAGCAGAGCGGTCGCGTCCTGTAGGGGACAGTCTGCCGCCATGCCGCACTCTGCCTTGGGAGAGCAGGGGCTAAGAGGGCCTGCTGCCCCCACCCTTCTGGGCTTGGGAGGGCTGGGGACGGACGAGCACGTCCTCGCCTCTGCTATGACTCTCCTTCCCGTTAGCCCTGAACTTTGGCTCCAGTGAGTCGGAAGAAACACCCAGCCGTCAACCTCCACCCTCGCGTGTTTTGAGTTTTATTATTTAAAAACACACACGTGTACACAAGAGACAAAAGCGAGAGTGGTGTCCGGACCCCTGTACTGTCCCTGCCGCTCCGCGCGCCCCAGGTCTCATCAGCGGAACACAACGGAGGCGTATTCCACGTGGTCTGTCGGCACCCTCCCGGGGCCATCGAAGCGGGGCATGTTGGCATAGATGGCGAAGTCGCCCTCCTTCCCGGGGGCCAGGTTGATCACGTTGCAGTACACAGGCTCGGTTTGGCAGGGGAAGTCCTGCAGAAACAGAAACCACTGACAGGCAGAGGCCCAAGCAGGGGGACTTCCCCAAACAACCGGGTGCTTGGCTGACCCTACAGGGTGGCCGGCAGAGCCCGGGGTCTTCAAACTCCTTCCCAACTGTGCCCTGGTTCACCCCGCCACCCTCTGCGTGGAGCCCATAGAGGGAACAGCACAGCAGAGATGCCAGGAGCTTCCGTGGGTCTGCCCTGGCTACTACCTTACCGGAGATTCATGGAGGAAATTGGTCCGACGTCTCAGTTGTTTCCTAAATAGCCCTAGAAAAATGGGTGAGCTCAAGGTCAAATTGCTGAGTCTGGGGCTCAACTTTGAAACGCCAAACCCATGTTCAGCGGGCCTCGGGGACAGAGTAAACTTCCGGGGAAGACACAGCGGGAATGAGCACAGGGTGTGACGTTGCTGTTATTCAGATGAGAGTATCTGCCATCGGTATTTCTTTTAGTTGATGCAATACGTGTGCAAAGAGTCACATGCGGCTTTCAGCATGAAGAACAGCTCCCGATGCTATGCACGGCGTCCTGGTGACCCTGCCGCCTGCCCAGCCCCCTCCCTCAAGGCTGCCCCACAGGAAAGACACCCCACTTCTCCCCCCAGCTGCCCCTTCCTTTTTTCCCACTTTCGGACCAGCTGCTTGACTCACTCTCGCGCCTCCATTTCTTCAAGACCACGATGGAGGCAGCCACCAGGAGCAAGCCGAGGGCCACGGCACCGACGGATCCGGAGATGGCCGTGCCTGCTTCGCTGAGGCTGAGCAGAGCGAGCGAGGGAAACGGGTCGGCCCAGCCGCCCGCCTGCTGGGTCACCACCCACCAAAGTGCCAGCGACAGCCCTCCCAGTCGGCTTCTCCCACCCGTCACCCCGAGTCCCACAGACCTCATCTCTGGCTTCGGGGTGGTGCTGCTCCCTGCGGAAAGTGAAGGAGAGGAAAAGGAAAGGCTTCGTTGGCAGCGATTCTTCCACACATGCAAATGAGCTCTGCAGGATCCCGAGAGGTAGCATTAACTTCTGTGTATGCACTGGGCACATTCATGATCGCCATCATTTCCATCTCACTGAGAGACAGCTCACAGGGCTCAGACTAGAGCTACGGAGCTGGTACGATGGGAACTCGGGCCTCCAGTTTCCAGTTGTGTTCACACGCTCTGCATCCCACTGAGCATTTCACTTCTGACCCCTACTGATTTACGCAGGGTCACCAGCTACGACAGGGTGTCCAGAAAAAGCAAGGAGAAAGATGTGGGCGTGAAGGATCTAGGATCAGGAAGCCGGCAGGATTTGTGTGTTCTGGGGAGGAAGGAGAGAAGTCTTCCCGCTGCGGGGGAATTTCTCCCGCCTCCAGGGGCGGGTCCCAGCCCC